TGGCAAGGCACCGAGGAGGAAGCAAGAAGCAGGATGGGGGAACCTCTCTTTCTGGGGTCTGGCAGCCAGTGGGAGGAGCAGCTTCAGAGTCAGAATGGCAGTTATAGGTGATGACTATTCACACGAGAGGGCTCTGTTCCTGGCTTCCATTCCAGCGTCAGAGCAGGTCTGGTGGCAGGGAGGTGGCCTAAGGCCAGGCATAAGGACTAAAGGACTATTCCCCAGTGCAGAGGTGGCCAGGAAGCCACAACAGAATCTGACCTACATAGCAGAACCTTCTAGAAACCCTACAGTGGCAGCCCCTGACCCTTGCCTATCCACTTGAGAGCCAACCTGCCTGTCCACTGCTGCTAGACAGCCCCTCCTCAGTATTTGTGCACCAGGCCAGGAGGGCCAAGGCTTCATGTCCCTGGTCAGCAGCTCCTCACCAGTGCTTCACGCAGGCCTCCAGATGTCCCCTGGGTCTACCCTTTCCTGCTAGTCACCTTTTCCTGTCTCATTTCCTCTCTACTCTCCTGCTGCAGGTACTTCCTTCATTTCTAAAAAGAATGAGTTGCATGTAAATCCCTGCGGCAAAGGCTGCTTTAGGGGACAACCCCAACCAAGATGCCATCTGAGTTGCCCATCCAGCCACACCCAAGTCTGGAGTCAGAAAGACACCCACAAAGTCTCCACATCCCCTCTTCACCACCCCATAGCTGTGTACCCTGGTCACACCTACACGGAGCTTCAGGGACACTGCCCTTGCTGTGTTTGGCTTGTTTAAGTGAGATCTACTAAGCATGTGCCATACCCAAGCACTAGACAGGTTTTCCACCCACATTCAAGGCAGGTACTATCACCATTTCACAGATGCAGAAACTGAGGTTGAGAGAAGGGGTATACCCAAGGTCACCCAGAGTCTCTATGACTCCAGATCCTGAACCCTACCTCCTCCTCTCCCTCTTCCTTCCATCTTAAGAAGGAATATGAGCATTAGGCTTGGAGTCAGACAGACTTGGTCACGTGCCAGTCCACTCAGAAGACCACCTGGGAGCAGAGAAGGAAGAGCAACCAGAAGGGCTTGGAACTACAGATCTGATCTCAAAGCATGAGAGGAGCTCCAGAGATCCTCTCTCTTCCTATAGCCCCCACCTCACCTGCCCCTGCTGGACCTCTCAGGATCAGATTCAGGCCTGGGGAAACCTCCAAGGCAGATATGAGCCACCTAGGTACGTCTGAGAATCTAAAAGGGACAGTGCACCAGACTCCTGTCTCATGCCATGCTTCACAAGACCCAAATTACACCACCACACGACCAAGGGCAGTACCCGGAGAAACCTGCCAAGGTGAGGTATCTGCACCTGCCTGAGAGGCCCTGCCCTGGGGCTTTCAACAGGCCTCAGCAAGCACTTGCCTTCCTGGACAGAATAAAACTAGTAGGGCTCCTAAAAAACAAATGCCAAATGTCTTCTTTGATATAAAGAGAGCAACTAAGAACAGAACAGGAAGGAAGGGCATGAGGAAAAGACTAACAGTAAACAAAGATGAATGGGGGGAGAGAAAGGGAGAGAGAAGGGAAAGCATATGGAAATGGTAGGAGACCTTCAATGATACACAAAATTATAAGAGGTTATGAC